CCTCTTCATCAAATCATGGAAGTACAATTCGGAATATAGCTCTTAAAGGAAGAAACATTAGCTCAATTGTTCAGGAGTCCTTGTCACAAACAGTGTATTTTTTTCCGAATACCCGGCTGAGCAAAATTTGATATACAAAACCATATTATCAGAGTGATGGAAGGTATATAAAAAAAGTATATTGTATGAGTTTGGGTTCAATTTTACTCATTGAAAAAAAATTATACCCGTCAGAGGCTCGTATAATGTGGTTTTATTTTACTTGGGTATTCGAAAAAAACAACAACACTGTTCGTGATATAGACGTTTTTTCTGTAAAATTGAGCTAATGTTTGTTTTTTAAGAGCTATATTCCGAATATAGTTTACCCCGCAGGCGCCTTAAATCTGGTTTCGAACTTCGAACATGAAACTAGTAGTTATATACTGGTACCCCGTCGGTGCCCCTTTTTGATATCTTTTGTCGTTCATTTTGTTTTCATGTGGTATTCAATTCTCAGTTTTGATTGGATTAAGGCAGGCGGTGTGCGGGTAGAAATGGCCAAGTCTTGTAAATTGTTAGAAGCAACGCCGACAATAAGCTTATTTTCAATTATGAAAGGGGAACAACTTTTGAAGGACAAATTTTCAACTTTTATAGCAGTTGTTACTCTCAAATATAGCGGATGACACATGAATATGAACCGTTTTCTTTACTGCTACAGGATATGCCATTTTAGTAATATGTGCAATTATCAAATGTGTATACACAATCATGAGCATGGCATATATCTTTAAACAGCTGTGTACATGTAATTGAATAAAATTAAACACAAAGATTGGTAAACATCTTACATACATATATTTTGAAAGTATAATATGAAATGTGCCTTACACAATTCTCAAAAACATAATTCAATAGAAATTCTTAAATTTTCAGGCATAATGATTAAAATTAAAATGAAAAATGGTAAATAATTTATGAAAATACAAACTGGAATAGCATAGCTTATTGTCAATAAATTAATTTCAAAATTTACTATACACATTTAAGTAAGCAATGTTTAAGTACAAATGTGCATATATATCATTTGATGACATGTGATACAATCTACGTTATATACAATATTAATAATATAATACATGTAGTAGTTGACAATGGCAATTAATTTTTTTAAAAAGCATCTAATGAATTTCGTTGCGAAATGTATTAACATCGATTTATATGTATCAGAATGCATTTTTAGTAAAATTATTAAGTCTTATATCTTGTGTGTTTTGACTGGAGATATGTTATATCTACAATATTTGCACATGTATTAGGGTTCAGAGTTATAATATATACATGTTTATGACATAATATATATGTATATAAACATGTATAATTCTACTGTTTCATGTACGTCTGTACCGTTTTATTAATAATTGTTCACTAGTGACTCTAACACAGTCAGCAGATGTACAACAAAACGTGATCTTGATCATAAAATGTAAAACGTCAATGTGGCCATACCACGTGACTTTTCGGGTACGGAACACGCCGATTTTTCACCCGATTCAGGTATGTTTTTTATTCATAACTTATTTATTACTCAACCGATTTTGATCAGATAAGGCGCAGAGTACCCGTAATTATATCAGCTATCCACGGTATATTCAAAATTCTGAAAACCCTTGAATGGTTTTTGAGAACATTCGAGTACAGTTTTTTTTTTCATAGCCTGGGCCGAGGGGAACGGTACACACTCATTTTGTCATAACAAGCAATTTCTAGCAAGTCATATGTTTTTTTGACACTATTTCATAGAAAAATACATATTAAATCTGATATATTTACTATATCCAATGTATCAAGTGAATGCAGTGATGTTTTAGCATATTTTCATAAAGTTATGTTGAAATGGTACGGAACACACTGTTATTTCAAAAGATACGGTACACACAACAATTTCTGTCCTTGTAATAATTCTAAAATAAAATATATTAAAATTTAATTTCAATTATAATGGGAGTGATTTTTTTCATAGTTATACATTTTATTAATTAAAACGAGAACACAGGGACCTGTTTTGCAATGTATCATAATGCTTACTTGTAATGTTTATATGTATTTGTGCACTATATTTCAAGAGATCACGCTTAACATTTACAACCTCCATGTAATTGTCCTATTTAAAATAAACTAGGGTATGTTAAACACTTCGATCTTCACAGAATCAGGTAGTTGCGCTCTATAGAAAGAAAATGTTGTTATATAATGCTATGTTCATTGTTGTTTATTGTTATTTTTTTTAGTTTAAGTGAAGTAAGATACATCCTGAAAAAATAAAACAAGGTCATAAACTAAAGCTCTGAAAAGTATCATAACTTGATAACAGTTTATATATATTTATATTTTGTTAATAAGCAAGTCTACAAGGTACAATTTTGCAATATCATGGTCCCATGTTTAATTAAATCAAATCACAGAAGGCGCTGAATTTGTTTGGGTCTCAGAATGTCAGAAAGGTGAAGGCTGTGAGATTGTAAACCAATTTGTTTTTGTATAGTGCCACCAATGTTGTTTCTAGTGTCATAACTAGTAAATTGGGCTATAAGGCTTATTGCAATAGTGATATGTAATTCATTGTTTATTTGGCTTAAACAATTAAAACAAAAACAAAAAACATGAGTTGCCTTAACTAGGATTTGAACTCAGGACATCTCTCTTCCTAAATGAGCGTGTAACCCCCTCGACCACGGGGAAGTTATAAGATAACAGTCTGAAGAAAACCATATCATTCTAAATTAGGGTTTGTAACCCTTATTAATTTCGTTTGACACTGATGTAAATAATCATGGAGCTTAATATTACATGTATATTTGTAAAGAATTACACAATATTTGAAATCTGACCAATCGGGAACTACTTTTTCTTCTCCGAGAAGGCTTGAAAATTAATGCGCCCGTCATTTGACAATCATATTACAGTGATCCCCCCTTATTTTTTCAGCGTTAGAGTACATATAAAGGTAAGTAAACCGCTTCCAGGGGTTCGGATTACTTTCTTATTTTGCAAATAAGCATATCAGAGCCTGAAATTTCGCTACCATTATTTATTGGTTTGACGACCCAAACAAATAAAATTGTAGTCGCCATTGCTTAATTTTGAAGGTTTAAAAGCATGAAGCTTTAAAAATAACTTTTAATTCATGTAATTATGTCATTTTCGATTTGGTTTCACGCCTAATAAAACTGACATTATCATGTGGCGACTTTCGAGTTTTACAAGTGCCCCTTTGGGTATAAATAAAAGGACGAACAGGCACCTGAGTAAAACGACCGACATTCTGTACGGAAGTAAGAAAACTTCTCACATAAAAAATCGAAACATCGAAGTCACTTGTGGTCTCGTACCTACTTCATGAAGTATATAAAACAGAACGCAGCCTCCAAAATCCATAGCATTTGATTGACAAAATGGGTATTATTAAAATATCATTTTATTTTTATCACAAACACGCAAGCACACCATATCCATGAACTCGAGTGTTTAATGCATCTTGAAATGAAAGTCCAAGATAGGCATAATTTTACCAAATTTTCCTAACATTTTTATCCTTTCATATATATGTAACAAGGTTACCTTGTATAAAACTACGTTACGATATATAACAGGCCTTGTTCCCATATGGGTTCTTCAAATTATTAATTTTGATTGCATATAAAACTGCGAAATATATTTGTCTATATGTAGATAATTTGATAATTTAGATTACATGCAGTTAGTTTTTGGGACCCTGGCCAGATTATTTCATACCAAATATCATGTGGCCGCAAAAAACTTTAAACTTTCCGGATCCACTTACATCAAAACCAGCGTTTTTTCTCCAAATTCGATTATTTTAACAACATGTTGCAAGGAACATATATTTCCAACTTGTTTGTTTATGTATTCATACAAACGTTTAGACAGTCCCATTTATATATTCGAACAAACAAATTAAATTAAATAATAATCGCACATAACAGATGTCCATGAATTTCACAATTCGTTTTATAATCCAAACGAATATACCTAATTGTTTCAAATGAAAATAAAAAAAAATTTTTTTTTGAATGTCTTCCGTATCCCTCCCTAAAATTTTAACATTCTATAGCCAAATATTAATTGCTCAACATACAAAATCGAATTTTGCGCAACATACTCTCAAAATGTTCTTTTATTTTTTGAATAATCCTGTTCACATCAAACTGTAGGCATAATGATACTTTGCAAAACAGGTCCCTGGGTTATCGTTTAAATTAATAAAATGTATAACTATGAAAAAAATCCTCACATTATAATTCAAATTTTTTTTTATAGTTTTCATTTTAGAATTGTTTCAAAGACAGAAATTGTGTGTGTACTGTATCTTTTGAAATAACAGTGTGTTCCGTACCATTTCAACATAACTTTATGAAAATATGCTAAAACATCACTGCATTCACTCGATACATTGGACATAGTAAATATATCAGATTTAACATGTATTTTTCTATGAAATAGTGTAAAAAAACATATGACTTGCTAGAAATTGCTTGTTATGACAAATGAGTGTGTACCGTTCCCCTCGGCCCAGGCTATGAAAAGAAAACTGTACTCGAATGTTCTCAAAAACCATTCAGGGGTTTTCAGAATTTTGATATACCGTGGATAACTGATATAATTACGGGTACTCTGCGCCTTATCTGATCAAAATCGGTTGAGTAATAAATAAGTTATGAATAAAAAACATACCTGAATCGGGTGAAAAATCGGCGTGTTCCGTACCCGAAAAGTCACGTGGTATGGCCACATTGAACGTTACGAACACTAAAACGTGAATGCTTTCTTCCTTTCGAACGTTACCGGTAGATTTACTCCATTTTTGCGCAAATTCTATGTGAAGTGATCAGAAATAACAATCTGTCATTTACAAAACTGCAACAGAAATTATTTTTTGAGAGAAAGTATAAAATTCCATTTCCAAATTGAGAATGAATATGCTTATAACATTCAAATCATCTTTGAGAAATTTAATATATATGTAACAATTCCTGACACGATAGTTGAGTATTTTAAATCTGAGTATAAAAATGTTTATCTTTTTTCAAGATGTTCAGGCGATTTTAATATGTATCACATTTCTTTGGCGCGTTCATTTTCGACCCTGCCGGACAGTTGAACGCCTGTGTAAACTCCGTCAGCAGGGAAAGTGCCGTGTTGGTCCTGAAATGGTAAAATACAGTAAATAGGCCACTCAGCTTAGCAGAAAAAATAAAAGTTTTGACGTCTATAAAAATGATTGAAGCAAACCTCAGCTAGACTTAAGATGCATGATCAATGTGCATTGCACTTTGTCAAATATTAAACGCATACAGTACAACCTATACATAAAAACCCTCTGCACCGCAATTACCATAGCAGCCCTCTGCACCGCAATTACCAGAACATTCCTCTGCACCGCTATAACCAGAACAGCCCTCTGCACCGCAATTACCAGAGCAGCCCTCTGCACCGAAATTACCAAAATAGCCCTCTGCACCGCAATTACCAGAACTGCCCTATGCATCGCAATTACCAGAACAGCCCTCTGCACCCGCAACTACCAGAACAGCCCTCTGCATCGCAATTACCAAGAACAGCCCTCTGCACTGCAATTACCAGAACAGCCTCTGCACCACAATTGCCAGAACAGCCCTCTGCACCGCAATTACCAGAAACAGCCCTCTGCACCGCAATAACCAGAACAGCCCTCTGATAGTAATTACCAGAACAGCCCTCTGCATCTATTATTTCCAGAAACAGCCTTATGCACCGGCAATTACCAGGACAACCCTCTGCGCCACAATTACCAGAACAACCCTCTGCACCGCAATTACTAGAAAACCCTCTGCACCGCAATTACCAGAACAACCCTCTGCACCTTTATAAGCAGAACAGCCCTCTGCATCACAATTACGATACAACCCTCTGCACCGCAATTATTAGAACAGCGCTCTGCACCTCAATAACCAGAACAGGCCTCTGCACCGCATAACCAGAACAGCCCTCTAATAGCAATTACCAGAACAGCCCTCTGCATCTATTATTACCAGAACAACCTTCTGCACCGCAATTACCAGGACAACCCTTTGCATCACAATTACCAGAACAACCCTCTGCACCGCAATCACTAGAAAACCCTCTGCACCGCAATTAACAGAACAACCCTCTGCACCTTTATAAGCAGAACAGCCCTCTGCACCACAATTACGATACAACCCTCTGCACCGCAATTACTAGAACAGCGCTCTGCACCTCAATTTCCAGACCAACTCTCTGCACCTCAATAACCAGAACAGCCCTCAGCACCACAATTACCATAAAAGCCCTCTGCACCTCAATTACCAGAACAGCCCTTAGCACCGCAATTACCAAAGCAGCCCTTAGAACCATAATTACAAAACAGCCCTCTGCACCACAATTACCATAACAGCCCTCTGCACTACAATTACCAGAACAGCCCGTACCACCACAATTACCAAAACAGCCCGTAGCACCACAATTACCAAAACAGCCCTCTGCACCGAAATTACCAAAACAACCCTCTGCACCGCAACTACCTCTTTACAACAGTAGTATCAGTTCTTCTCAAAGTAATAATTCATAAATTGACCTCTCTAAAGTAAAACCTCTCAGCTTCAACTTCAAGGATGTTGCTTTGTAGAGATTGTACTGTATCTATATAAATAAGGCACTGCAAACAGTCCCTAGTATTATTTGTTAACATGCAATGAAAATCAAAGGTAATGTTTTGCGTCACAAGTCTTAATTTTAATGTTCTCTGGTCAGAGAGTTTTGAAATAGACTCCATTGTTTACTTCCCTTATATCCGACTAGTTTTGTTTCTTACCTCACGTCCTCGGGTAGTCTTTGTACCTGGGCATAGTAGTAGCTTAGTGCATCTGTCCTTGTGAAACAGTTAGTCTGAAACAACAACCGAATATATTTCATTATAATTACAGATTTTACGTCAATGAAGCACAGCTAACATGTATCAAACAACATCAATTTAAGCTTCTATTGTAAAAGATTATCTCCAGAATAAACCCATTACTGCATGAGCATTTTGTAAAAAAGTGCTGTTTTCTTCGACATACATATAACTCGAAACAACACGTTTATCTGCATTTGCAAATATTATTTTAAATTGGCTCCAAACACCTCGACGTGCCTAAGAGCAACTTTCACAAATTTTGTTTTAACTTTAAAAGACCGAAAAGTTGCAATTGTTTTTGTGAATTGAACAATTCGGTTAAAAATTAAAATTGGTAGCTGAATATTAAAAGTGGTAGTTCAAAAATTGTTTTTTACTTGAGCATATGCCAGGAAGAAGCTCTGATCGTTAGTATAATGAGGTGTGGGCGTCGGTTTCTCTTCCCCATTGTCTGCTATCCACTTCTTATAGGCCTAAAATAATATTTTTAAAAATATTTATTTAATGATAATATTTATTATTTTAATTTACTTTTTCAGACACAAATAATATATTGGATATATGATACCGTACCAATACATTTGGTGGTCTTAAACCGCAAAATTACGATAGTTCTTGAATAATTCAGGATACTTATGTTGCTTAAAATCAATGATTTTTAATCAATGATCAATAAATCAAACCTTATAAGCCACCCCTGATACCACTGGTCTCTGCCAGGCCTTCCCATGCAAACCGTCCTACCATTTACCTGTACCTGAAAAATATGTTCATATTGCCTAAAAAATAATGTCATAATTTTGAACGTTTGTAACGCGGATTTTCATTGCACATTGGACACTATTGACGTCTTTATCATATTTATAATACTGCACGTTTGTAACGTCGCTTTTCATTGGATAATTGGGAAGTTTAGTTTTATATACACGGCTTTTGTTAATTCATGAAGAAATTTATTTCATTTTCTCTAAGAAAAAGGTTTGCTGTATTATTAATTCATTACAATGATTCTTGAAATGTTATATGACCGTAAATAAAAGGTTATTTGAAATATAACCCTCGCCTAGCGGCTCATCGGCTCAGATTTCATATACAAACAACCATTTATATAGTGCCATATAACCTGTCAAAATTCTTTATAACTAAACATATGCACGGTTGCTACAAAATCAATGATTTAATTCTTGTTTTTGAATTAAATTAAGCTATATTTCATGCATATTTCACAAATTTCTGTCTGAAATTAATTAGTATATTTTACATACTAATTTTTTTTGCTATACATGTTTTTGTTTGTTTTTTTTTTTTTTAAATGTATATATGTATGACCAGTGTGTACGTGCGTGACTTTACTCGGCTAACAATGTTGTTATAACAACGGCTGTCTTCTTTTGTTGTTTTTATCTCAAATTTACTAATTACAAAGAGGGAAAAATACAGAAGCGGTCCAACTAATTATATAAAATTAGTCAGCATTTCAATAACCAGATGTTTAATAGACAGAAATTAAAAATCAGATTCACACCGTGATTTCTGTTTAGAAGGTAAACTCAGTATAAAAATCGCGTGCGTGTCTGTCCTTTTTGTACACAGTAAACTTCAACAATTTTACAGTCACATATAATTCACGAATGATCAATGCTACTTAAGTCAGAACTAGTGAGAATCTATGTGAAAAATTATAGAGAAAAATCAAAATGAACTCTACTCTTACAGGCCCATTGCGCTTCATAAATGCTTTTATTTTTATTCCTCAAAAGTTTTCTACTGATGGTGTACTTTTATAGTATCCAAAACATTACTCAATGGCCAATTACCTAAACCATCTTTTATTGTGTTGCTTTTTGGCAATAAGTACAGTTATAGTGAATAAGTATTATGTATGGAAGTTAAAATACTACTTTGTTTACATTTGCTACTTCTATGACAAATTATTTCACATGTGTCGCTTCTTTCTTTAGGTAACTAGCATCTTATTTTAAGTAAAACCATTATTTAAACATAATAACAGTAAAAACTCCCTAAACCGGATACTCTGTATTCCGGAATCCTCTAAAAACGTTAACCGAAAACTTCGCGCTGTCCCGATTTTTTTTCCCTCTGTTTCTTTACAAGTACATTGTACAAAAAAGCTTCTGTAAACCGCAAACTTCGAACTCCGGAAACCGGAACGATTTCGGCAGAGCATTTCCGGTTAAGGGAGTTTTCACTATGCAATACATGTTTGCCTTTTCTAAAGAAGTTAAACTGTATTTGTTTCTAAAGAAGTAAAACTGTAAATTTGTTTCTAAGGACTAATGTACCTTTAATTGAATGTACATGTATACATACCGACTGAGGCGCAGACTGACCGACAATTTTGTATGGTCCCATAGTTTTATTATCATAAGCATCAGAGAAGCATGTTTCCACTTTCCGGTAGTTGGTCCGAGATGCGTTAGTATACCAGGCACCATAGACCCCATTCTCGTTATAGGAACCACCTTAAAATCAAACAAATTCATACAAATCAATACCTTACATGGCCATTATTTGCAGCTTCAGATTTGTATCATTTAACTGTCCAATATATTTACAACATTAACTCGTATGAGCCAATATACTGGGGTACGTTTGACATCTATTGTCAAGGATAAAAGCCGTTAAAGACAAAATTATATAAACGATTTCTGACAAACGAACCCGCCGTTTGAAAGTGTATAGTTTCTTGAACATTGCACCCTCATCGCAAAAGCTATGTATCTCAAAGATCAAGTAAAATATAGTTTTTGGTAAAATGAAGGACATGCATATTGAAAATTTGCCTTAAACATATTCAAAATTATAAGTCAGGAACACTATATTGCGAATGCATCGGAAACAAGAATTCTGATTTCAGAAAATATTTCGAAAATGTTTTCGATTCCAAATAAATTCGTGGCAATGAAAAAAAAGAAATATTGGAAAACAATAGACTTCAAATCCTTTTTTACAAAAAAAAATTAAATAAATAAATTCTCATAAACAAGAAACACACATCGAGAAAACATACAATTAGAACATACCCCAATTATCTATAGCATGTACCAGATAATGTCCCATAAGGCCACCCATTGACCCAAAATTGAAATAATGTGGAAGAGTCCATTCATACACAGGGAACTGCAGAATTCCAGCGGGAACCAGGAGCTGGTTCCAAGAATTATAAAACGTCATCGATGTGTCGTAGGAATTATATAACCACCGGGACCTGTCTTCCCCAGATGTTAATCGACGGGTCCAATCCTGTTTGTCGAACAAATTCAAATTCAAGAGATTTTGGAAGTAGTCTGTTCGATTGATTGATATCTGGAAGAAAATAAAACGAAGTTTCTGAAACGTTTTAGAAATGATCATGAAATAGAAAAATTTCTATTTATAGAAAAAGTAAGAAAATAATCTTAAATTTGCCCCAAGAAAGATGTTAACACAATAACACTTATACTGGTCATGTAGAACCAGAAACCCTTTTTATAATGGAAACAAAATCGAAAATTGGCACCCCTGTTGTAAAAATTGCATTAATATTGTTGTTGTTGTTGTTGTTGTTTCAAATTGCAAACCACAGTGCATGCTTTTGCATGTAAAAATCTTATATTTTAGTATAATACGATATATTAAACAAAGTCACATCACGATTTAACCCATAAAATTATTCAAACACTTCAAGGTCCAAAGACGAAATAGTCTAAATGCAAAGCTCTTCAAACAAATAAACCTATATTACGTAAGGTAAGCTATAACGTCACCTGTTGATAAATGTTGTCAATGTCAGCATCGTTCATGTAAATGTCAGGATATCCCATCTTATCTGTAGATGCTGAAAGCTGTACGGAATAAAAAGTCATATTGACAATTTTCTAAAATATTTCATTATTAGAACGTTTTCAGTACAAAGTTTCCGGATATTCAATTAAATTTCGTATGCAAAGATGAAAAAAGCAAAACACTAACAACTTCTTCGCATAAATAATCTGAAAGAAATTGCCATATAGATGTTATAAAAAGAGGCTTAAATACCGATACGGGAATCCATTGCTTAGGGCCTTTAAATTTCTTTTGGGGATTGAAAAAACCAAAAAAGGGGGCCGGGGGGGGGGGTGAGAAAGTTATCCTTTTCCTAACGAAGAAAAAAATAAAAGGGCCCAAAAATTTAAAGATTTTAGTTTCTTTTTTAAAAGGGATCCTAAAAATTTTTTAAATATTTTTAACCCAACACCGACGCGTCATGGCCCAAATTTTAAAAAATCTTTTGGAAGGAAACTTGGGGCCGGGCCCAACCCGTGCCGGAAAACCAATCAATAATGCGAAAAAACCCTGACCTTCCTTAAAAGGGTAGCTAAAAAATTTTTCCTCCCAATAAAAAAACACCCCTGCCCGGTTTTTTAAAACCAAAAAAAAATTAATTTTTTAAAGTAACCCACATGACATAGCCGTAAATAAAAAAAGCAAGGTCAAAAATACAAAAGTAGCAAATAGCTCATTTCTTTGAAAATTGAAAAACTTTCCCACCTAATTTCCATAGAAAATTTACCGAAATTTACCACTTTTAAAAATTTCAAAAAGGGGTTTTTGTTTTTGTACAAATATTCGAAAAAAAATAAAAAACACGAGAACATTTTTTATAGAAAAAAATACATTTTTAAAACTTTTAAACAACGTCCTTTTTTACCCTTGCCCTTCCCAAAAAATTAAAACTAAACCCCGCAAGTATTTTTAAATAAAATTTTACAAATTTTTTAAACCGATTAATCCCTTTAAATAGCAAAACGTAAACAGGTTTTTTATCACTTTAATATTTTTAAACCCTTTTTTAATTCTTTTAATTTGTTTGTTTTTTTCCTGATCCTTTTTTTACAAAATGCATTCATTCGATTTTTCGCCAATGTACATGTTTTTTTTTCCAAATGTAAAATTATTTTTTGATCTTTTTAAAATGTCAAGTAAACTTGATTGACAAAGGGGGCATACCGTATTTTCAAAGAAAAAGGGAAAAAAAAAAAGGGTTAAAGCGGGGAAAACGGTAATTTACAATGTAAAAACGGGCGGGCAAATTTCTAAAAAATTTTTTTATTATTATAAGACCCAAACTTTTGAAAATTAAATCATGATTCAATTGCAAAACATTTGCCATTAGTTTAAAAAAACCAGACAAAAAGGGGAGTTGTGATGACAAAACAGTTTTCTCTAAATTTTCCGGCTGATCTTTTGGAAATAAAAACAAATTTTAATATTTCCCATTCAAAAAAATAAAAAACAAAAAGGTTTTAAAGCTAACAATTAAAACCCAAATTTCCGGGTTCTCTATAAAATATTTGAAAGGGACCTTTTAAACCTACAATAACCGAGTCCTAGCTCTGACTCAACTCTAAATTTTTAAAATGCTAAGTAATTTAAATTTTGAAAACTTTGGCAGCCGTGATTGTTTAAAAATAAATCAAAAAAGGGGATCGAAAAAAAAAAAATCAAAAAAATTAATCCCTTTGGTTTTCCCCTTTTGTTTCGTTGTGTAGTCCAAAAACCGTGTTTTTTTACAGAGTCAATAAGGGCCCTTTTTCCATAAGCATTTCTTAAACCCTAAAAAAATTTTAAATCATTAAATTAAAAACGAAAAATTTTTTTAATGGGGCATTTTTATATTTTTTAAAATAAAAACTATTTTTTTTGAAAAAATACTGTCATGAAAAAATTTGGGTTTTATAACCCTTTAAATATAAGTGTTTTCAATACCAAGGATTTTTTAAAGCCAAATAATTTTTAAAAATTTTTGGGTCTAAGTTTACAGAAAATTAAATGAAATAACAAAAACCTTAGCTAAATAGTATGTATATTTTATTGCCATTTTAAGAGAATTTAGAGCTGATTTCGTGTATTTGCCACCTTTCACGAAACTGCAAACATCTTTTTTTTTTTTTAACCTCGTTAACCCATAACCTGCTGAGCCTTTGCCACTGGTATAATGCCTTGCTCAAGCTCAATTTTCGACAATAAAATTTCATTAAAGGAACTCCACTAAGATTTTTTGAAATTTCGTGACTGTAACATTTTTTTCCGAAATTGATAATCTTTTTGATGTAGACATAGAACAATAACTTGTGTGCACAATTTCAGATCATTCGCTCTCTCTGTTTTTATATAATTATTATTTTAATTGTGAAAAATGACCAAACATTGAAAAAAGCGTTGCAACGCTTAGCACTCAAACCGGGCTAAGAATAGCTAAAAAAATTTCATTTTATTTCTGAGTATATTTTTTAAAATTTTTTTTGGCATTTTTTTCCTGTTTTAAAAAGGGGGCCCCGGCGGGATATATGAAAAGAAATTTCGAATTGATGTCTTCTTTGGCTTTTGGACCTAGGGATTTCCCTTTTAAACCCTTTGAATGAAATTTCAAAATTTTAAAGCCAGTCCCAACCCCCATTTAAAAAATTTAGGGGGGTTTAAAAAAGAAAATTTAAACCCAATAAAAAAAACTGTTTTCAGGCGAAAAAACCTTTATTTTTAACAAAAAATATATGTTAATAAATGTTTATAAAAGGGACTATTAAATGTTAGGGGTTAAATGTAAAAAACATTATCTGAAAATTGATAAAGCAATAAATAAATTTAAAGGGGTTTCAATATTAAATGAAAAATTTTTATACATATCAAATTTTGGGTAAAATTTCTTTTTAAAATTTCAAAATAATTTAAAAATATCATTATCAGTAAATCAAATACATTAGAAAAACACAAAACGTTACTTAGTCATAAATTTTACATGTATGTAAACTTATTAATATTCGAAAAATATCCTAAACAAAATCTGAGGGAAAAGTCATAAGATTGCTTACCAACTACAAACGTTTCTCAGTCAAAATCAAAAAAAAGAAACAACACCTTTTTTACAACATGCAAGAAAACATAAACAATAATATATATATAAACATAAAATATATATTTTGGAATATGTCATTTTCTGGAAACATGCAAAACATGCAGGATTGTTAAACATGTGTGTTTTATCAATATACATCTATAAACAGAGTTTTAAGAAACAATGTTCATCTTTAGAGTAATATACGAGGGGATTGGTGGGGCTTTATATGGCTATTGCTATTATACAACAAGAATCTTCGTACGACAGGTGCTTAATACAGGATAGAAGCTTCGTGAAGAAAATGGTAAATTTCAAAAACACGATGTTTTCAAAAGTTCCATAATAAACTTTTTTCAAACTTTAAACTTTCACTGAATATCTGTGGCGATAAAGACATCTTTTATCAAAGCACAGAAGGCGCTGCATTTGTTTGGGCCTCAGAATGTCAGAAAGGTGAAGGTTGTGAGATTATAAAACAATTTGTTTTTGTATAGTGCCACCTATGCTTTCCAGCGTTGTAATTGTAGTAGATTGGCTATAAGACTAATCGCAACACTGATATTCAACCCAATGTTTATTTGACTTAAACAATTTGAAAAAGAAAATGAGTTGCTTTAACTGGGATTTAAACTCCAGACCTCTCGCTTCCTAAGCGAGCGCGCAAAACCCTCGGCCACGGTGAATTTATATGTGACCAGCTTGAAGAAAACCATATTATTCTAAATTAGGGTTTATAACGACGCTAACTGTTGTTTAACACTTGTGTAAATAATCATGGCGCTTACTATAAGCATATATATCTATAAAGAATAAAACAATATTAGAAATCTTCGACCATTCGGGAATTATTTTGCTTGAAAATTAATGCGCCTGTCATGTGACCATATTTACGCAGTGATTTCCCCTGAGTATTTCGGCCTTAGTGTTACATATAGAGGGAAGTAACCGCTTCAAAAAGCGGACTACTTTCGGCATTTGCAATTAACAGCATTAGAGTCTGAAATTTCGCTACCATTATTTGTTTGGTCTGACGACCCAAACAAATAAAAATGATTCTTCTGATGAAACCGTAACCTTCATTTTCTAAAACCAGCCAGCTTACAACACTTGTACCGAAAGCACGTTTCAAAAGCCAAATTTGTTACTATTCCTCCAACTAATGACAATCATGCGCACTTATATATGACATATATCCCGAGCAAAAAAAAAAAATGGCAAAAAAATAATCATTGTTGAATTGATGTCATGACACGCCCATTCATTGAAATCTTACATGATTTTGCTTGTACTAATTAGTTCATGGTCCATTTTCTTAGGGTTTGATGTAGGCAAGTAACATTGGTAAAACATGCCGCGGGCGGTGATGTTAGAGTTGCTAGATGTTAAATGGACAATATCACGTGACAAGCTGTCTTGTTACTTTGGAAAATCTGTTTAAAGCAGGTTTTTTATGATCCCGATTGTCAAGGTATTATGCTTATTTAAATAGAAGAAAAACCTTGTCTTTATTTTTATCGTTGAAATGTTGATTGGCGTACAGCGCCCCTAAAGCGTCTGGCATACTATGATCAGCGTGCCAGAAACAATGGTACCAGGTTCCGTACAAGCTTTCATATTGATAAACATCCGCCCAGAAGACGCGGACTGCGTGGATATAATTCCACGACAACTCCTGGGTGTACCGGCGAGCTAATCTCCACACGATGTAGTTACTCAGTTTTCTGTAACAATTAAAATCATTTACTGAAACAGTAAAAAAGAATAATAAAGGGAACACGTTAAAAGATTGGCCCGAAAATTTAACCTTTCAAGCTATAGAAAATTCAAAAAATTTGAACACAATATCCAGATCATGTGATGAGAATGCATTTGTTCTTTTTTGCAAGTTTTATTGTGATACTCCTAAAACTCAAATATTTAGACTCGTAAGTGCACCATAGAAGCCCTATATGCCGGCTATCCTAATTTGGC